CAGGATTTGAAATAACAGCAGAAAACTGGAAGGTTTACAGATGACCCTCTACCTGTCCCTGCCCTGCTTTTAGCCCTTAGCTGCAGACTGATGCTTCAGTACTAAATTATTCAAGCAGAAGTGTGTTGTATTGTTTTCATTTTAAAGAGAAAAATTGGTGCTTTCTTGGAGATTTGCAGGAGTGGATTCCCCATTGCAGGCACACATGTGGTTCGTGTTGCAGCTCAACTGATGGGCACTGCTGATGTGTGAGGAAGGAAACCTTCATAATTTCAATTCCTTGAGTGTTCTAACACAAAGGATGGCTTTATCCCTTCTGAAGAGACCTGGAAACAGATAAAGATTGTCAACATTCAATTAAAAGATATATTGGAAATAATCAGGATGTAATAAAAGACAAAACGTCCAAAGCCATACTGTTAGCTCTTTTTTCTTTTCTTTTTTCTTTTTTTTCTCCCTTTTCTTTTAGTAGCATAGGGGAGGGAGGGAATGAAAGAAACATTATCCAAGCTTCTTTTTGCCATCAACCCCTCTTGAATAGAGAGAGACTGGAAGAACTGCTCTGCTGCAAATGGTGTCAGGTTCTGTGCATCAGCGTGAGTTCACTTCCCAAGGCTTATTTGTAGGATTCAGCATTTTTGTTACAGCCAGACACAAAGAAGAAAGCAAGCAAAAAAATGCTACATTTAGCCCCTTAGACCTTTTATTTCCCAGCTAGAAACATAAATAAGCTTGATACAAGTGCCTGTATGTCAGTATTGTGTGCTGAGGACCCTTAGGACTGAAAATTTCTGCAGGTTTCATTTCTGTTTTAATAATGGGAAGCCTTCCTGTGAGGAAGATAGCGTATAAAACTGATTGTCTTGTGGAGTTCAGATGCTGGAATTGGTGTATATAAGAAAGACATGGTTGCAGTGTCAGATGCTGTTTTTCTCATCTACATGGAGTAGATGAGAACTGAGCCTGTAACACCTCTAATCCAAGCACAGCACCTGTTTGGAACTAGGAAGAACTGCTGACATTTAAAATAAATAAAAAAAGCATAGTGGAGGTCTTAATCTCCTATGTAGGGAGCAGATAGCAGGTCTGACAGGAATCTGTGTAATCTGGCAGTAATATTAAAGAGAAAGTCACTGAGAAGTGGTTGTTTCCTCTCCTCAGCCTGTTCCCTAGCCATGCCTATGGATATCTTCCCTCTCAGTTGTTACAGTTTCAGAGTCCAGATCACTTGCCACTCCCTGGAGCCCCGGGGTTATTTCCTGTATAGATCAGACCATTAAAGTATGGGTTCCTGCTGTCCTTCCTTGTGTACACCACACTGAATCAATGGAAAAGCAATTAGAAGATACTGTGTCACTTTTTGGCGTCCTTTTTTTTTTTTTTTTCTTTTTTTCTTTTTTTCTTTCTTTCTATCAAGTTCTGCACAGGAAGAAATTGCACAGAGCCAGCCTTCCAAACTGCAGTTTCGAATTTGTTTGGCAGGTGCTCCCCAACCTGAGTTAGGCCAATGCCCCAGAATAAGAGTTCAGGCCTCCTTGCACTGCCCAGACCCTGAACTGGCAGCACATCCCGGAGTGTCTGCTGGCATCTGCCCTGTTGTTCCTCAGGAACAGCCTGAACACTCCCACTGTGCTGCTCTTTTCTCCAGCTTTTTCAGATATTGAGGACAGTTGTGTGGATCACCTCCTGTGCTTTCTTGTCTTACATCCATCACCCCTGTTTTAGGTGACCTTCCTGTTTCATCTGCTGCTTTTAGGCAGTGGTTTGCTGATGCTGAGCTCCAGCAAAACTCCAGTTTTGCACTGAGCAGCTCCTGGTGCAAACTGTGTTGTCTGACCACATGCTCATGGAGTTGTGCAAGAGCTGCTGTGCTTTGTGCCATCTGGTCTCATGAGAAACTGGGAGATGGAGCATTTCTCTTGAGGTTTGTGTGCTTTTGAAATTGGGCTGGTTCATGATCCTGACCCCAGCCTATCGTGACATGCTGTGACTCAGCTGAACCCCGAGGGAACTTTAGGGCAGTGACTGGGGGCTCATGTTTCCAAAGCTGCTCTTTTCCCAAACCAGCAGCACTGGAAACCTGATCTGAAATTCTGGGTTTGTTCAAAACTGTCTCTGCACTTTTGTACAATATCAGGGAACCTGGTTGAAGTCTTATCAAAGCTGTTGCAGCAATAGAAGTACAGTTGCTTTTTGGGCTCAGAAAGATGGCAAAATATCCATTTGGGTTCTTTGCAAGTTTGTGATATTTAATCACAGGTCTAAAATTTTAGACTGTGTTTCTAAATCATCACCTACATTTTTCAGAAATTGGTGCTTTCAGCCCTACACGGCTTTCATTTTAGAAGTGTCTGTGTCTCTAAAATGTCTTAAAAGGTACAGTTCTGCCTTCCAGTTTTAGACATAAAGAGAAGATTTAATTTATTTTTGAAGTTCAGAAGGAGAAATCCAAAGGTTAACAGTTGGTTGGTATATCAGATGTTACTTGGTATGTGTATCTGCTCTTTATTTTTGAATTTCCCTTTCTCTGCTCCTCCAGGTGTCATCTTGACATGAGTACATTCAATCTTGGCACGAAGAAGTGTACAAAACTTACTTGAAGGGTGGAGAAAAGAAACTGCAGCATCCTTGTGTGCATCAAAATGCCAAGTAAAAGCTCTTCAGAGAGTGAGAATTCAATTCTCTGAAACAATTTTCATAAGCACTTGGTACAAACCTGAAAAACAGCATCTCTGCACTGTGCAAGCACAATAGACACAGATGATAGTGCAGTTACATTAGTATAGAGAATGGGAATGTCTGATCAGTAGCACAGGATACAGGAGGAGTTTTTGGAAGTGTCCTGCTCAGAAGTGGCATTAATCCAGTAATATCCAAGCAATAAAACACTGTGAGGCCTGGTTAGTCTTGAGAGTGTTTGGGCTTTATTGTGGCACACATAATTTAATTAACTTTTGAAGAGACCGCTAGGCAACAGCCCAAACTCAGAAGGGCAGAGGGGAAAATTCTGATGGACAGTCCTACTGAGCTAGAACACAGTGGCTGTGAAGGAAAGGCTGCTGAATGGGCTGATGGCTGAAAGAAGCAAAGCAACCGCACTTGGACTCACTAGTGGGCTCTTTGTCCAAATTGGAGCCATCTCTTTCTTTAGAAAGTTATTTGTGTTGGAAATGAGGCCATAGCCAGGCTGGAGCAGGAAGGAAGAGGCGGATAGTGATCTCTAAAGGGGGTGCTGTGGGTGCAGAATGACAGCCGTGCAGAAGGAGGTTGGCTGCCAGGGCAATGAACTTGGCCAGAAAGTTCCTCCAGCCCCTCGCTCTGCTGTATATCTGGTGCTGTGCGGAAGTTTTGGGGCCCGGGATGGGCACGGTGTGGGGTTCCTGCACATTCAGCTACAGAGCCAGCTGCCCTCCTGAGCCCACTTGTGCCCTCCTGCAGCCTTCCCGTGCTTCGCAGAAAAACCAAAATGTGCACTCAGTAGAGGAGTAGCTGTCACCCTTTTCCTGTTCCCGGCCTGGAAGAGAAGCATTTACCGTCTTTCCAGTCGTACCTGAGCACTTCCCCAGCATTGTATGAAGGGCTGCAGACCTTTCCTGCCATGTTACCTTGTCTGCTCTGCTGAAAGGGATGCTGAAGCAGCAAAGAGGTGTGAGATTTTTTTCCCAGTGATATAAATTATCTGTATTGAAGTCAATAAAGAAAACTGAATTTGTATCTTCCTTCCTGTGACCTTTAAAAAATGTGTTTGCCTGTATTGAAGGTGCCTGTGACACCATTTGTGGCTTAAGTTGGCTATTGGATGGAAACATTTCAGTTTCCTGCTCTGATTCATCAGTCCCTAATGACAGGTTACATGTTAATTCTTGCTTTCAGGAATTTTCATGCAGTTGTGTTTTCACTGGGACCTGATAGCAAATGTGAGCAGAAAGAGCTTCATGCTAAGGCCTAATAGTGCAGCAATGATTCTTTTTATTTGCCTGTCTGAAAACAGTTCCCCCATAGTTGTTGTGGGCCTTTTGTAACACAAATATATCAGAGGTGATTGTTCTTTGCTTGTTTTTTATTCTGTTTCACTACATTTAACAATGCTTTATATAGCATCAGTTTTGTTGCTGCTCCATCATCACCATGATTATTACCATAGGGCATAAAGTATCAAACTCAGATCACAGCTGTATTGTGCAGGAGCTGCACAAACGTGCAGTAAAGGGAGTCTCTGTCACAAAGTGTTAGTGGTGTCTGGAGAGCTGAGGCAGGGAGGAACAGGCACGATTCAGCAATGTGCCCCAACTGCACAAAAGCTCAGTTGTGGTGTCGGGTACAGAGCAGTGCTTCAGACAGGAAGGGACACACTTCTTGTGCACAAGGTTGCAGGATCAGGAAAGGATGAGCTCTTGCTGCCCTTATAGAGATCAGTGCCTTTAAAATAAACTGGCCTTGCATGTGACAGAAAAAAGTTCAAGCATCTGGATAGCCAAAGGTCCCTTTCTTACCTTGGTGGGGTCAGAAGCGTGTGTAGTATTTAAGAAGCACATTCAGAGTCACTGTAAAAGTCCTCATTGCTTGAAGTCTCACTTAAGTTACAGGATTTGCACTGCACCCATCTGGAAGTATTTTGTCCCAGCAGCTGGGGGCAGGTGGGAGAGTTATTGTCCTTAGTAGGGGGATTCTCTGTTTAAAAGTTTTGCAAACAAGTAAGAAAAATTTTCCATTTCCCATCCAGAAGTGGGTAAGATAGACCTGTCTCCATCTCAGATTCAAAATCCCTCCTTACTGTCATTCAAGGCCCTTCCAGTTCCAAGGGACCAATTGTTTTCTGTATTCCTCAGTCTTAACTGGACAGCCCAGAGAAGGTGAAAATGTTATGATGGATTCTCATCCTTTGGCTGGCAAAGGTTTTCTGATCTGGGGCTCGTCTCTGAGCCCCGATGCATGTTGGTGCCAGTTGATAGCAGGACGATGGTGCCTCGCTCACTTTGCTCTCTGTTCTTTCTCCACAGCTCCTGTACGACAACCCCAAAGCCCGTCAGGAAGTCGAGTATCACTGGCGAGCCTCGGGCTGTCCTCACATTGTCCATGTCCTGGATGTGTATGAGAATATCCATCATGGAAAGAGATGCCTGCTCATTGTCATGGAATGGTAGGGACCAGCAGCAGCCCCTCACCAGGCACTGCCGTTGGAGGGATGGAGGGAGTGGGAGAAGGTGTTGGCTTAGATGGCAGTTGGGGCATTTCTCAGCAGCACAATTTTGGTCTGCACAGGAAATCTCTTGTTCCATTTATGGAACAGGTAAGGAAATGTAAGGTAAGGCTTCAGCCTGTGTGCTGGAAGAATGAAGAACCTTTACCAGAAAATAAGTTTTCATTGTAATCCATAGCAATTGTCCTCATTAAGGCATTGACTGATTAGTACACCTTTGAAAGGTGTCTCTACCAGTATGTTCTGCTTTGGTTGTGATCAACTTCCAACTTCAGATGCAAATCCAAAGATCCAAATGTGATCTGTCCTGTCATAACTATTTTGACTCTAACTTTCTCTATTCTCTCCCTAGTCTCCAATACCACAGTTACTGTCCTTTTCACTGAGGACAAATTAATAATTCTTTTAGGTGTCTTTGCTTCTTTCTTTTTCTTCCTCTCCACCCTTTACATGAAACAAGATTATTGTCAGCCTCCCAGTGCTGGCATATCTGACTTCCCATCTTTGTATGTCATGTTCCCTGTGACAAGGTGGATTAAACTGAAAGCATCAAAATTCCCTGGTCTTATTTTGTTTTCTATTTATGCTGTACCAGAATGGCTTTCCACATTGATGTGAGTGTGATGTTTAGGAAGCACTGGTGTAGGAGGCAGCCTGTAATCTTTATCTGTTCCTGCTGTGGTTCTGTGAGATTATATGGATGCAAGTCAGGTGTTAATTTTGTCCTTTCTGCTAATATAAGGTGGGGGTTTTTTGTGTTCTTTGTTTCAGCATGGAGGGAGGAGAGCTGTTTAGCAGGATCCAGGAGAGAGGAGACCAAGCTTTCACTGAGAGAGGTGAAACATCACAAGTTTAAAATTAAAGTTTGTGAAGACTTTTTTTCTCCATTTCTCTGTCCCATGTTTCCTTTTAGGAATTTTTCTTTGATTTTATTTATGGTGGTGTTTGAGGCTATTATTATTCTTAATTATCCCACTGTGTGTTAAGAGTGATTATAAAAAGTTCCTGATAACCAGGAATTATGAGAATTGGCCAAGTTCAGGCAAAATGTGGAAGGTTTAGAGAAAAACCTTTCTACAAATCTACTCCACTTTTTCATTCCTGTACCATGAGAGCATCTGTTCCTCTGATCCCTGGTCTCATGCCAGACCACCTCTGCCATGATCAGTGCAGCTGCTGCTGTGCTCTCTCTCTAGCTGTCCCTCAAGCAGCATCACTGCACACTGTTAGGTCATGAGTATAATGAGCAAATCACATCTGATGAAACATCTCCTATTCAAGGGTTTTAAAGCACTACTTGAAAGGAAGTGTTATTAACCACACTGCAAACAAACCTGCCTGTCTGTAGGAGGGACTGAGCAAGTGTAAAGCCCTGCCATGAGGCAGGAACAGAGCTTGTACTAGACTAGTCTTGCCATTTTTGTTGTCTTTGCTATTTTTTATTGACAGAGAACCACAGGTCTGCCTGGCCGTGGTTCTCCTTGCCCCTCACCGTAGACAAGAGCTGCTCAGAGGAAAACCATTAATGTTTGTATGGTGATAGTGTTTGTAACTATTGGCCTCACAAAATGACTAGAAGCAGAAAAATATGCACCTGGGCTCATAAATTACTGTGACTCATTTTGCAGGTCCAGTGTAGAGGCCAGTCTGTTTTCTTCTCCTGTGTTTCCTAGCCTAGGATGAATCCTCTTTAGTCCTATAAGAGGGGAAAATGAGCATTTTTAGAAACTTTATTTGTTCTTCTCTAAAATACAAATTCCAGGGAGAAAACCGGTGCCATGAACATTAGCGACTGCACTCTACTAAAAACATTATTTTTCTACATTATATAGCATTGTATAACATTACAAATACTTATTCAGAAATCACCTGTTTAAACAAAAAACCACCTTCATTCTTTCCTGAGGTAAATGAACCCTATGCCACTGGATTCCCCAGGTTCACTGCCTTTTTTCATAGCCACAGCTTCCCATTAGGACCAGGAAGGTAGAGGTTGTGCAGGGCTTCCCCCAAAGAATAGGAGTGTTTCTGCATTCTGATTGTCCTTGTCTGGGATTGTATAGTTTCAATCTTGAGCCATGTGAAAAAGGATTCCAGGTTGCAGTACAAGTTCTGCCTATGCAGAACCCAGAGGATCAGGCTGAAGTTTCTATTGTTTCCCTGCCAATGGAGATGTGATATAAAGCTCACATGGGAATGTCATTCCTCCCTGCACTGAAACCCCTCCCTGTGTAAATGAACCCTTCCAGACTCCCAGAGCACTGCTGTTGCAAGGCAGCTCCACCACTAGAATTTCCCATTGGGGCTATGTTAAATTTTTCAAATGTATCATTTCAAAGGTGGCAGTTTGGGCTTTGCTGAATAGAACTGTTGATTTTCTTCCTCCTGATGAAAAACTTCTAAAGACAGTGAGGAATTAAGATGTGACCTACCCTGAAATTACTATATTGTTATCTTGCTCTATTTTTAGAAAATATGATAGATCATCCTCCTACCCCTGAACTAGAAGCTGAAAGTTAAATTTTTGTCTCAAACAACCAAGGACATGTCCTGGACAATTAGAGATAAGGTGCTGGTTCTGGCTCCTTACTTAACAGTTGCTGCTTGTGTACCTGCTCTGCTCTTGCTGCTTTTTTTGGTAAATTAAAGCACAAATTTCCAAGCTCCTGAGGAGTCTGAGCTGCTGGGCTGCAACGCCTGCTCAGGAGGAGACTGAGCAGCCGGGCAGTCGGGGGCTTGGTGCCTGCAAACCCAAAACACAGCTGTTAGGGCTAATTTTAGGGTTTCTCTAGTCTTGACGCTTGCCCCATGTTCCAGCAAGCTGTTTGTAAGCCATAAGCATTCCCAAGCATGTCTCTGAATTACAGTGGGAATGTTAATGTACCTTTCTCTAAAATTGTATTTATAGAGGCCTCTGAAATAATGAGAGACATTGGGACAGCCATCCAGTACCTGCACTCCATGAACATTGCGCACAGAGATGTCAAGGTGAGGGCCCAAGGTGTGTGGGCTGGGGAAGAGAACTTTGGCAGGAAAAATCCTGGGCAGCAGTGATTTTAACAGAACTGGGAATGCAGTCAGATGGTCAAAGTGTTCCTGTTCCTCTGCCAGTGTGAGAAAGGATTTGCTCACTAGTTTGCAACTAGTCCAAGGTTGGAATATTCATGTGTGCTAATGCCTTCCAGTTGTGTACGGAATGCAGAAAAATCTCATGATAGTCAGATGCTTAGTTAAAGAGGTACTGCCCACTTGCTATCCATTAATTAGCAAGAAAATAGCACTGCTTCAAGTGAACCTATAGCTTATAGATGCCTCTATTTGCAGTCTTTGCTAGTTATTAGTTGCTTTCTGTATCATACCTGCATTAAAAAAAAAAAAAAACAGGCAAAAGAAACCTCCACAAAAACGCCAAACAGCAAAACCCCTTCAGAAAAAGGGGAAACTTCTGGGAGGAATAATACCAATTTCATGCCTCTAACCCATTCAACATGTGTGAATATTTGGGAAAATAGGGAGGTCTCAGTTACTGCCAGTGTTTAATGAGGTAAAGTTTGAACCCGAATCTCACTGTAGGGGTCTGACAGAGTTTGCAGGGTTGTATTTTGTGTTTGTGCTCTGAAGTACACAGCACAAGCAAAGCCAAGCTCACTTCGCCCCAGCATTTCCAGCACAGTGACACAGTGAGGGATGATGGAATATGCTGGAGAACAGGGCATGTAATGATACACTGAGGCATCAGATCAACTCCACAGCTCTGAGCTGGTGGATTTTCTACAGATGTTTGTGTGTTTAGCTGGAGGGAGAACTGACACATCATGGTGTCACCAGGGGGTAAACTGGGAAATGAGCTGATCTAATTGTAGATAATGGAAATATCCTGTTGTCCCTCCTCTTGGGCACAAGAGCTTGTATTTCCCTCTGTGCCACTTCTGCCTGTATGGAGTGTGGAGCAAGAGTGCAATTGACTCAGGTTTCAGGATCCAAAGGAGGGGGGAGCAGCAAAGGGTCCATGTCTGTATCAGTTCATTTTGATGGAATTGTGTCAGTTGCTCATGGAGGGTTTAGTTGAGGATTTTGCTTGTCCTGCCCCTTGGGTGCTTGAGGCACAGCATGGTGTCAGATCAGCTGTTGTCACCACACAGATCAGTCCCAGGAGGTGCAGAGAGCTGGAAGAGGTTCAAGAAGCCAGGCTGGATACCTATTGGGTAGGGTCTTGTGGTTTGCTCTCCCAAACACCTTTCTAAGAAGGATGTTGATGCTTAGTCTGAGGAAAAGTGCTGCTTGTTGGGAGGGAACTTTCTCTCTGTTCAGTGGGGTCGTGATACAAGTAAGAAGACCTAAATGGTGGTGGTGAGTTTGACATGTCAGCTCATTAGAGACATCTCTTCATTGTCCTGTTTATCCTCTTTTGGTGACCTTCCAGCCTGAAAACCTGCTTTACACATCTAAAGACAAAGATACTGTGCTCAAACTCACAGACTTCGGCTTTGCCAAAGAAACCACTGTAAATGCACTGCAGACCCCCTGTTACACTCCTTATTATGTGGGTGAGTTATCCAAGGACATTTCTTCTGTGTTTCAGGCATTCCTTCCCTTCAAGTGGGTGGGAAGTCTTCTATTGTGGATGTAATGTAAAGTGTTAACCTCCAGGATTTAAACTGGGATCCAATCCAAACCTACTCTGGTTCCAGTACAGTTCAGTGCTCCTGCTTTCTGCTTGATGGCAGAGGAAACAGCCTTCACAGGAGATACAAATGAGGATATACAAGGAGAGAGAGGGAATTCCTTCTGATTACACTGAAGTAAACTGATGTTTCCTCTGAATGATGCAATAAAAGCTGTAATTTTAATTGAGCTTCATGATATTTGGGTGTTTCTGTGCAAAACTTTCCTTAGCTTAAATTAATGCAATAAGAGAGGAGTCTTGCCTCAGCTGTAAAACTTCTTTAAGCTGGCAAATTGAGGAATTAGTAATAAAGAACCAACGTGACTTAATCACAGCAGAATTTTTCCTTCATTTTGTCCAAAGTTGAAGCACTGTGTAATGAATGCCACAGCAGACTGTCCTTTATGCACTCATTTTAGTCTTGAGTTAATAGTCATTTATCATATGGTTTGACTGGGGCAGTCCATGCTTGGAATTTCTTTGCTGAAAAAAGGACTTAATTTGTTCGAAAAATTACTTCTCTGATTAAAGTTTGTATAGTTTTCTGTATTGAAAGAGACTTACTCACTGGGAGCAGATAATCACATTAGCAATACTCTTTTTCTGATGACTTCTTCTGTATTTTTGTAAGCTGGGTTTAGTGATAAAATGTTAAGGAGTTTACACACGTATGTTTTTATGCCTTTATATTTGTGTATAAACAAGCTGACATTTCCCTTCTCAGCACCTTTTTATAAACCAGCATGATTGCTCATATGTTTAAAGAATAATTTTCCTTACAAAATCAAGCTCCCTGCCAGTTTACCTGCCCCAGGGGACAAAGAATGTATCTCTGTCTAATTTTGTTACTTAGTGGAAAAAATATAATGCTCTGGAGGCCAAAGAAAAATACAGTGCCCTGTAGCTGCTGGAGCTAAACACACCACCCAGGTATCGTTCAAAATTTTATCACAGCTCCAGTAGGGCCTTTCTATTCTGATTGCTGGAACATATGCTCCTGCCTCTTTCAGTGCAGTGTCTCCCTGTACACATTTAGCTGTAGCTCCTTCTGCTTTTTGGTAATCTTAGTACTCCCTTGAGCAGAGAGACACCAAGGTGAGGAGTAGGGCATTTTTCCAGCTCTGTTCCTCCTTTTTAAAGCTATTTTAGATGTCTTTAGGAACTTGTCAACCGAAAGTGCTACCCAGTTCCTGCAGTGAGCTGTATTTTTTAATGCCTTTAATACCTGTTGTTGAAGTGTGCTGCTACTTACAAGGTGATGGAGATGAAGTACCTGGTACTCTGTTTACTTGTGGTTTTCATCTTCCCCAGCCCCAGAAGTCCTTGGTCCTGAGAAGTATGACAAATCATGTGACATGTGGTCATTGGGTGTCATCACATATATTCTGTAAGTATTTGGGAAGGAATGTGGTGAACAGAAAGAGAACACAACTTGTTAAATTTGCACTCACAAGTAGTTGTTGACTGGGATTGTGCAGCCTGCAGTAGAGTATAAGCTTGAATAAAACTTTCTAAGAGGTGAAAGGACTTCCCTAGTTATGAAAATTCTTTTGTCCACTCCTACAGCCTGTGTGGGTTCCCTCCGTTCTACTCAAACACCGGTCAAGCCATTTCTCCAGGGATGAAGAGAAGAATTCGGATGGGGCAATATGGATTTCCCAATCCAGAGTGGGCTGAAGTATCAGAGGAAGGTAAAAATCCTCCCTGGTGCTGATGAGTGTGAGCATGGTGGTGTGCAGTGCTGCAGTGCTTACAAAGAGACTATTTCTAAAAATCTGTCTGAGCTTTTGTTTTCCTTTCTTTTACTATTTAAATCAATTTTTTGTAAGGTGCTGCAGAGAACGACCGGGAACTCAGATACCAGCCAGCAACCTCAGTGCTACAAAAGTAAATGACTGCTGAAAACCTTCTTTCAAAATCCAGTTAGTGCTAGTGAATGCTGATATTAAACCCTCTGGAAACAGAAGTCTCTAATCCTGAGAAAGGAGACAGCCAGGACAGCTCCAATGAAAGCTGAGCTGGAAGAAAAGCAAACTGTCTTAAGAACTTATTCAGTCTTTGCCCTCCTCAGTGATCCAGCCAGCAAGGATGGCAAGTTTTCATGCTAGCTTTTTGGGATGTGGGAATTTGCCAGCCACCACTTAAATCAAGGTCAGCAATTTATTTTGTATAAGACATTGATCAAAAGCTGCTGGGCTCAAATCAATGTCCTGAAAGTGGGTATTTTTGATTCCCTCTCATCCTGACAGTCTCATAAGCTGAAAGTATCACCTGCCTGTCATATTAAAGAGAAGGGTCGGCAGTGTCTGGGCTTATCTGTTTTTCTTGCAAGCCCTTTATATAGCTATGATCCTGTTTTTGTCTGCTGTTTAGCAGTAAAAAATAACCCTTGGACCCTGCTGTGCTCTGTGGTATCTTCACTCCTCACTGGATCTCGTGGCTGTGTGTGCAGCACAGCCAGCTGAACATTGTTGAGGGAGATGTTTTAGCCATGGGTTTCTGGTTAAATATTTTCTCTGCTTTGGGTCTTGTTCATATTCCAGCAGTTAAAAACAGGCTAGAGATGCTCAGTGAGAGAACATGCGCTTGGACTGTGTGTAGGGTTTGCGTGGATGGAGATAGGGGCCCTCTACCTTCAATCCTATTAAGATCATCTCATCTGTGGGTGTTCTTTAGGCTGATGAGGCACCTTCAGCAAGTTGCTTTTTTCCCTGCTTTGTGCTGTGCTTGTCCTTTGCAGCCTCTCTCAACAAACTAAACATGTACCTTTGGCAACTTATTGCAAGCATTTAGTCATCTTGCATGTGATGTTCCTAAAAGAGACCTCTTATTTAGAAGTTTTTATAGGTTCCCTGAGGAGGTTTTGTGTAAGTCCTTCTAAATAACTTCCTTTGGATGCAATGTTTGCAGTCTGTCCACCCACATTAATGAAACTCTTGTCTAGACTCTCACCATCTCATATCTCAGTTATTAGTGCTCTTGCTTTGGCAGATCCCATGTTCACAGAAAGCTGCTGCAAAGCCTGTTTATGCAATCCATTTATTTGACTTTTTTTATCTTTTTGGTGGCCTCTCAGTTGTCAAAGTTCATTGTCCCTTTTTTCCACAGTCTATGGTAGTTGTTGTCTTCCATAATTTCTCAAAACATCAACTTCTGTAGTCATTCAGCCCATCATGCCCAGCTTGTTGCCATCTTTGAGGCAGGCAGCTTAGCAGCTTTCTGTTCCTGTGCTTCTCTTTTCCTCCAGCTGTTGCTCTCAAAGCCATTGGTTTGGTGATGTAGAGATCATAGCTGGAATCCCCAGTCCTTTTCTTTCCTTCTTTCCTCTTGTTTTGGATGTTTTCCTGTTTTACCCCTTTAAACACAGTAACCTGCCCTGCTGCATGCAACTTCTTAACACAGTCACTGCAATCAGGAGGTGTTTTCAGTTCTGCAAAATTGTGCTTCTTCATTCAGCAAGTCCTTGTGTTCCCAAGATTATTTGGGAATGCAGTCCTAGACTACACCATGCCCTGTTGGTTCTGTTTTTCAGCCAAACAGCTCATTCGCCATTTACTGAAGACTGACCCAACAGAGAGGATGACAGTCTCTCAGTTTATGAATCACCCGTGGATTAATGTGAGTCTTGTATCTCTTTTTACACCATTAATTGATTCTCACATGCAGAACTTAGGTGTAGCTCCACACAGCACAGCAAAAGAAGGGCTGTTATTACTGTTGATCCCTTAATTAACCTCCTGTGCCCTCCACAGAGGGTCACCTGCCCATAAAACCACAATTCTTCTTGGTGTTAGCAGAGGACAGACAAGAGGAGACACCCACAGTCGTGTCCTTGGAAGCAACAGCCGAAGATGTCTTTCTGTTCTGTGAGCAGGCAGTCTCTGTTGACGCTGCAGCATATGCATGTGTTACTCTCTTTAAAAATATAAAAATAAACTCTATGTGCTTACTTCATCGGTGCAGGATTTAAAGAGCTATTATTAGTGGTCTCAGGCACCATTGTACATAGCTGTGTTAGGGTGAACATGCTCCTGTGCTCAGTGGGAATTCTCATCCTTGGCAGAGTTTGGAAATGCATAGGGGAGGAGCAAGGGTCTCTTGTTGCCCTGTGAGAGATTGCCACGTAGGGTGGCACACAGAGCTATTAATGGTCCCAGTTCAGGTTTCATTCTATGATTTGATCGAATTTACATCTCCTTAAAAGAAATTTTTTGGGAAAAAGGGAAAAAAAAAATCTTTATTAATATAAGATGGACTATTTCAAATAAGAGACACAAATCCCAGATGTTACAAGACTGAGTTTGATGATACCATCTCTGCTCTGTAGGTGTCCCCTGAAAATACTAGGTTATACTTCTCACATTTGTGTCTAAAAAAATACCAGTCTTGTTCTCAAGGCCCAAAAAATCATCGGCCAGGAACAGAATCACTTGTGCTATAGAATGCCCTTTGTTGCCATAGTGCTGGTGTGTCTGTGCTGATTCTCAAAGGATGGGGCAGAAGCAGAGGTGTGGCTGATAGTCCCCATTCCTACAACGCCTGCTGCAGGATCTGAAAGCCCTTGGAATCAAATGAAATGCAGCTGTAAGACATCCTGACGAAGTAGAAAGGTGTTGTCATTCAGAGTTGAGAAAGCTGAGAAACTGAGGTTGTAAAGACTATAGAACAGACCCTAGACAATGTTTGAGTCTTTTTATAACCAAATGAAAATGTAATCACTGCTTAGAATAAATACCTCCAGCTTTGAGTGTCTGAAGCCCAAATAAAGTGTTTCAGAAGTCAGCAGGTGAGGAATTTCATGGAGTGAGTGCCTAATAGCTAAGGAAGCTGCCACCCACGGCGACACTTGTTACTTGGAATATGCACAGAGCCAATTAAGGAGGAGGAGATTAGAGACAAGGTCTGCAGACTCTGCTGCACCTGCTCCAATTGGAGCCCTGCTCCAATACCCTTCCTGGAAGAAAGCTGCAGGTTGGCTTTTTTTCTGCTGAACCTTTTCCTCACAGGGGGCAGAGGGAGGGAGAGGGAAAGACTGATACAGTGAATGTTTGTTCTCCCTTTTCCTAAATCCCAAAGTGGAAACACGTCTGGGGAGTTGCACAAGCAGCGGAGGAGGGTGCTTGTGTGTCTTTTCTTTTTATTTCCCCTCATTTTTTTTAATGAGATGGATGGCAGAAGTATTTTACTGTGAACTAGGCAAAAATTGTCAGTTTAGGTGGAGCACAGACTCATTTAGCTCCTCGTGTATAAGGGTTTTTTTTAACAAGTAGCAGCTCACAGCAGAAAGGTGCTCTCCTTTCCTTTTCTCCCCAGGGACAGGGACACCACTGAAACCAGTCTGCTTGTTTTCTGTTTCTCTTGTCCCAGCTGTGTTTGATAAAACTGTGCCCTGGCCAGCTGGGTTCCTTGTCTAGAGGATGGAGGGGTCAGGATCTGTGACTGCTGCACTGCTGCTCTGAGCTCAGGGGATCATAAGCACTGGCTCCAGTGTAGGGTTTGTTTTACAGGGATGTACAGGGATCTCCTTAGACTTTGTTGACATGCAGCTGTAGGATGGCACAGCAACAAAGAGCAGATTTGGGTAGAAAGCATAAGGAAAATATAGTATCCAAATAAAATTATAGTTTGGTTATGGCCTGGCAAGAATTGCCATGATTCTTGCTGAGTTTAGTCAGGGAACTGTGCTTCATGCTTTAGAAATTGTCCCTTATTCTAATGTAAAGTATCTCCTGATCTTTCATGGCAGGTGAGCAGAGATCTGAGTTTCATGTTGATGCGCTGTCTCCTGAGCTGTGCCTTGCTCAGAAGAACTGTGTCATTTCCTCTTTGGGGCTCACTTAGTCTGATGCACTGGTAATCTCAGTTAATGCATACGTGCAAGAAAATGTCTCCTACAACAAATCCTAGGAGATAAAGGTCAAATTAACCACTTTAAGACATTGACTAATAAATAGTGAAATGAAGAGTTAAAATCTAAAACCATATGTAAAAATTTATCCAACAATGGCTGGATAAATTGTTTGGACTGGAAGAGTAGAATGAAAGAAGCTCAGCACTAATTTATCTCTCTTTTTGTGAGGGGGATTTAATCCTTTTTTCCTACACATATGAATTCATTTGTGGAGTGACTGGAAGCAGGAATAATGAGGGCCGTTGGAGGACATTAGATCAAGTTTTATGCCCTTCATACACCAAGAGGACCAAGAAATCACTTCCCAAATGTTGTTTTTCAGAACTTCTGGTATTTTTCTTTGTTCTCAGAGATCAATGTCAGTGCCACCAACTCCTCTTCACACTGCACGTGTCCTGCAAGAGGATAAAGACCACTGGGATGAAGTTAAAGTGAGTCAATCCAAATTCAGATTTTAGTCAAGTGTGATAGGAGATGAAATGTGCTGCCTTCTCTGGGGCTGTGCATTTCCTTGAATACTGTGGCTATTTTGAATACAATCATGTCAAACAAGGGAGACATAAATGGTCTTGGTTAGAACAGTAGTGTATATGATAACTGTTTAACAAAAACAAAAGAATGCTATTTGAGCTTCATTTGGCAGCCTTACAGACCAGATATCAACAAAGATGGTCTTTATGATCAAAGGCATTAATGATGCTCCTGCTGAGCCACTGCATGTACCCAGGGAGGAGAAGGACAGTGCTGGGGCTGTTTGAACTTCATTACAGTGAAGAATGTGCTGAAAATGTAGGGGGACATGTGGGAGGGCTGAGCTGCATTCTGGTTTTCTGCAGTGCTTTTGAATTGTGGAACAACACTGAATAACCTTAGTTTTGTCTTGTTGTGACATTTGGTGGGAGAAGAGGAGAGAAAAAAAAGATTGCCTTTTCCTTAATCTAAGCAGGTGCCTCACTTACTGTGTGTACCAATGACTGCTGAATGCTTCCTGCAAAGTGACTGTAGGGCATACTGAAAGTCTTAACTCTTTCCTGCTGGCCTTCAACAGGCTGGCATGCTTTTACAATTAATTCTGAATTTTCTGCACTTCAGATTCCTAGAATTTTGACATTTGCAACATTCCTGTAGTGTATTTTATTGATTACTGATTTTATTTAAATCACTGATGTGTAGTCTCAGCTGTTGAGCTATGTAATGGTACAATTTTGTAGGATCTAGGCAACATTTACCTTCTGAGTCAGAGATCAAGCAGATATTTTCACTTAGGTGCCTTATTTGCCATGTTTCTGAGAATTTCTTATGCTTGTGCTTTTGTATAGGTCCCAGAGGTATTCCCTCGAGCTACCAACGTACCCATGATATTGGATTGTTTTTCCTTTCCTGAACCAAATGCTTAGGCATTTGTTCACCTAAACAAATTTTTCTTTACAACCTTATTAAAAAGTTTAAAATGTTCCTGTACTTAAGCATTAATTCAGACTAAGGAGATGTGTGAATTTGAAGCACATTCTTTTAAAGATCTTCGTGTGGGGGCGCAGAGCCAGCCGGGGAGAAGTGCTGGGCATAGGGACACGGTGGAATTTAGGCCAGCAGAGCGTGGTCCTGTGTGAAATGCTGTGTGAACAGTTCCTGCTGCCCTGGTGGAAGGAAGCCTCTGCTCCTGGAGCGGAGCACAGAGCAGGCTCAGCTCTCGCTGCCTGCGGGTGGCAGAGGGCTCCGTGTATCCGGGCTGTAGTGTGGGGTGGCCGTGCGCTGGCTGCCTCAGGGCCTTCACTGCACTGCTTGCTTGTTTTCAGGAGGAGATGACCAGTGCTCTGGCTACCATGAGGGTGGACTATGATCAAGTGAAAATCAAAGACTTGAAAACGTCCAACAACCGCCTCCTGAACAAGCGCCGCAAGAAACAGAAGCAGGCGGGCGCCTCCTCTGCGGCCCCGGGCTGCAACAACCAGTGAGGGCAGCAGCCAAGGACCTGTGGGTAGAGGCTAAAAGTAAAACAGAGCAATTTAAATCATATGATCGCCTCAGTCCACACCACAAAGGCATTGAGACTGTGAAGATGCTCTCCTGCAAAGAGGGAACAGTGTGATAACGTTTTGATAACTTGAATCAGGGCTTTGCTTTTGAAGACTGATGGATCTGACATGATTCTGTTGCATATTGCAAGGGAATATGAATAACAGAAATGTTACAGGTTTTTGGTTTGGCTTTAACTCCGTAGGACAAAAGGGGAGAACAGGAGGCAGTCTCAGCATCCTAATGCACTGAGGCTTTAACAGCCATCTACAAGAGTAACTTCTGCTGCTGTTTTAAACTGGGGAATAGAAAGGTGCCAAGTGTTCTGCTAAGAGTGTTTTAGTAGTTTAGTAGAATTGGTAATAGTCTATATTTCCAAACTTACCTCCTGTAGTTACTGAATATCACCTAAACTGTAAACAGTTCTTCTTGTTACAGGAAAAAGCATCCATACATTTCCATTTCCATAAAGTCCTCATGTAGTCTTATGTGAAGATTTGAGTTTGTTATGGATTCCCATTTGATAACATGTAAATTTTCTGAGCTGTAGCCACTATGCTGTATCTTTGCCACTGTCAGACCCCTCACTTGTAATGTTTTCAATTTAACTGGTACTTTATGTGAAGAGTTTCAGTAAGGATTTAAGTAGTTGAAAGTATCCTGCAGAGAATATTGCTGTTCCCCTTGGATCCACAACCTCCAGGACATGCAGCTGGACATGCAAGGGGATTGCTTTAGAAGAGAGACTTCTGAAATTTGGGAAGAAGTGGCAAATGCATGTACTCTGAATGGACCCTGGTGTCTGCCAGCATCCCTTCTGGTAATTATTTCCAGATCCTGTGCCTAAGATGTGATAATCACAGCAAATTGTGGGGTGCTGGGGTTGGTTTGTTTCCCAGGGATAGGAGTGGGGAGGGTGCTACTGTATTTATGGTGATATGGTGGTGTTTCAGGATCCAAAGATTATCCCCACTTAAGGAAGATTACTTTTAAATACATCCACCCATTGCTTTTTTTTTTCCTATTTTAATACCTTTTTCATAGGAACCTGGCCTTGGTTTGCTGGTATGTTTTATTTTGTGATTGAAATATTTTATCTCACTGTATTTTTGGGTTTGGCTTTATTTTCAGTTTAGTTGAAGCAAATATTTGTGAAAGTGCTGTCATAGTCTGGGGTGAAAATGATGTGCTTCCAGTGATTCAGGCACATACACCTTTGAGGTAGGCACACAGAGTACTGGTGTGTTAATAGGCTTGGAAGAATGTAAAAAGATGAAAAGGAAAACAGGGCTCCAGAGTGGATCTGAATTGTCAGATCAGAGTGACACACAGCAAAGCTCAGCTCGAGGCTTTGGACCTCATCAGGGGAGTCCAGTTCCCATCTTCAGAGTGGTGAATGAGACCTCAATTCTCCTTTGTGAACTGGTCCTAGGGTTTTGTAACATGATTTATTAAAATCAGTTTTTAACATTCCTTCCTCCTGTCATCCCTGTTTTTGTTGAATTGTTGCAGAGTTTTTATTGCTTTGCAAGATACATCTGTGTTGAAGGTGACAGGGAATAGGAGAAGGAAAGTGTTCCATGATGTCCACATTCAAAAGCTGCCCAACTCTGAACATTTTTTAAGATCACATGGTTTTGGTTTTAAGTATCAATCTCTGTGAAGTTGTATTTGAAAATTATTTCATGTTTCTGGTATCTGTGATTATAGCATGTCTTGTATGTTTTTGTTTTGCCATATCACTCCAGTGAATTATGCAAATATTATTCACTACCTGCAAATGAAGAGTTGTGATGTGTTCAGGGTGCAACAGTTGGAGTTAGAGCCAGGTCCATTTTTCTGTCCCTTTATCTAATTTTTTTGAGGGAGGAATGTACATTATTGCTGCTATTCCATCTCTGTGCCCCATCAGGGTGATGGGTGTTCCCAGGGCAAGTGTATAGTGTGCTGTCCTGTCTGCCTCAGGGACAGTGCCACTGAAAGTCTTGCAAACCAGCTTTTTTCCTCTGCCTTGGCCAAGGTTTGAGCAGGAGCTCTCAGTTCCCACCTGGTGCCTGCTGGCTTGTCAGTTCAGTCTGGAGCTCAAAGATATGTCTGTTCCTGGGCATTTTTCTGTAAAAATCCTGTAAAACACACCTGGGTCTGATTCCTTCCTGTGGGTTCCAGTATTTACTCCAGATCAGAAACTGGAACTGAGGCACCTGGCACAGCACCTTTAGCTTTCTGTCCCTGTGTGGCAGGACAACCCCATCTCATTAAACTCAGACTAACAGTTCTTGTTTTCTACGCTGCAGCAACAGCACCCAGGAATGCTGTAAAGCCCCACAGGAACCAGAGGAGGGCCTCAAAATGGCAGACATGGAAGTGTATGCAAGTATTGGACAGAAGGGTTTATGTTTATTGCACAGAGGGAAGGAGGAGACTCCTTGGGAGCTGGGAAACAGCTGCCCTGTGATGCTTGGAGCCTCAAACTGCTGCCCTGCTCCAGGCACTGATGCCTTCTGCAGCCCAGTGCAGCAGGACAACTTGTGTTTTACCTGGCTCTGTGTTACCTGGAGCTGGGAGGAGCTGCCAGAGACCAGGTTTGGGGTGCAGGCATTCCCCCGGCAAGGCCTGTGTGCTCCATGGAGAGGTAGGGATGCACAGAGCATCCCATGGACTCACCTCTGCCTGGCCCCACTGCACCACCTGGCCTCTGCCCTGCCAGCTCTGAGAGCTCCCTGAATCTGAACCTGCCATCAGCTCCCCAAATCTGAACCTGCTATCAGCTCCCCAGATCTGAACTTGTCATCAGCTCCCCAAATCTGAACCTGCCATCAGCTCCCCAGATCTGAACCTGTCATCAGCTCCCCAAAACCCAGCCTGCCATCTGCTCCTGGAATCTGAACCTGCCATCAGCTCCCCGAATCTGAACCTGCCATCAGCTCCCCAGAACCCAGCCTGCCATCAGCTCCCCAAAACCCAGCCTGCCATCGGCTCCCCAAAACCCAGCCTGCCGTCAGCTCCCCAAATCTGAACCTGTCATCAGCTCCCCGAATCTGAACCTGCCATCAGCTCCCCAAACCCTGCAGCATCACAGGCCCTTCTCTGGGTCTGTTACTCTTCAAAAGGTGTAGCCTCTTTGGCTGCCAGCAAGGCTCTGGGGAGGACCCTCCTCCTCCCTGCATTCACATGTTATAAAGAGCTCTGGTGAGCTGGTGGTGGTGTTTGGGTCTTGCCTCTTCCCCCAGCCATGTCATATAATAGGCTTTTTAGAACCTGCTGCTCAGGATCCAAATTTATAGCCTGTTTTTAGAAAGGGTAGGCTATTACAGAACTGATTATGCATTTGCATATTCATCAGTCATATAGAGGAGGTAAAGAACTGGGAAGGGACAGAAGAAATGAATGGTCAATAGAGAAGGCTAGAAGGCTTCAAAGAGAACACAGATTAAAAGGTCTATTTATTTTTTACAGAAGAAGCTTAAAAAAGGACTGTGCACAATTCCCCACCCCCATTCCTTTTCACAGTGATTGCTCATGGGCCGCTGCCTCCCCTTGTGTTTCTCTGCACTGTGCTCCTCACACACGTGGTTCATGTGCTCTCACCAGTGCTCTTGCTCTGATCCACACACAAATTTGTGCCCAGGCATGCAGGAAATTCCCTCCCTGTCTTTCCCAGCTTTTGCACCATACCTGTGCAATGTGCCTGGGTTTGACATGGTACAATTAAAAACTCACATTAATTATAAGCTCTTGGCCTAAGTCTGTGTTTTTCTATTTGTCAAAACCCAGCATGCAGTCCTGGGATTGCTTTTCTGTCTTAACACTTCACTGCCTTGAATCTGGAGGCCCAATTACGTAAGTGCTTCTGACTTGTCTGACATGAGGGATAATGAGAATGCTACATACTCAGTTTGATCTAATTTCCCTGTCCTCTTTTCAATTCACACTTTATTTGGCCCATGTTTAGACAAAGGTGCTTTTGGGAAGAGGGAAGTTTAGTGAGGAGGAGAGAGCCAAAGGTTTTAATTACTTGCAGGGAATCATGAACACTTGTACTGTTTTAGACCTGTGGTCCAGGTGGGGAGGAGGTGTTAATGTGGGCTTAGCTGCTCTGATGTGTTCTCCTGCTTAGCCCAAGGATGGAGCCAGCTCAGCTAACAAACCTCAGGGACAAGGAGAAGGAAGCAAGCAGAGAATGCTTTCACATGCAGGAGAACTCCTTTTTTCCAAGAGTAAATGTTTTGGGGAGTTTTATTGTGGAAATACCAGAATTTTCTATTTTTTAGGTTCCAGTATCTCCCCTCTTCACCCAACTTTTCTCAGTAGTGGAGCTGGCATAGCTGGGAATGGACATGGTTAATTCTCTTTTAGAGAGCCTAAAAGGGATGAAAGCAATGAAGCAAACCTGAGAGACAGAACACACACTCAAAACCTCAAAACAAAAAAAATCTTGTTAAAAATTCTTGCAAGCTAACAGGCAAGCCTTCAGCTCCATCCTGAAATGTATCTCACCTGTGGAAAATTGATGTTAGAGCAAGCCTAGGTAATAACATTTGCTGAAGAAATGTTTCCCTGAAATCTTTGCACCAGGTAAGAAAATTCTTTTTGAGAATTAAGTTCAGCTTTAAAATAGGATTATTTCTTTTCAGTTTGTGTTGTAGAGGAATTTAATGGAGAAAGGGAGCAGAAATGGGGGATGATACGTCATGTTGAAGAATAAGATAAGAAATGTCTGCCGTTGTATTCAACTTACTTTTTTACTGCAAGTGCTACCTCTGTACAGACATAGCAAGATAGATTCAACTCTTTATTAGACTTTTTTAGCACTGGAGGAGGATGTTGCTGCACTCTAGGGAAATGTGGAAGATAACCCTGTGACTGTAGATGAACATCTATTCTGGTAAATCTGTAAATGATGCCTAGCATTAAATTTATTTTAAAATTTCCTGCCTCATGAATCTGCCAGATGTCTCACAGGTCTGCTCTAACTGCATCAATGCACAGAGACATCACTGTCAGTGGGTTTCCTCCTGCTATTTGGGACCACAAAAAGAAGTTGCTGAAATCTACTGCACAGGTTTTAGTTTCCAGGAGCCAAAAGAGGAAAAAGGTGTCTTTCAAATAGCCAGAGATGGCAGAAAGGGCCAGGCTCTCTTTTAACTGGAAAGAAAAATCTTGACCTTCAGTTCCAGCTCCCAGAGCTGCTGGTAGCAAACCAGTTTGAGTTGTTTGGGGCTGCAGGCCCTGCTGAAATCTCTGTTGCTTTGACACTGTGCAGGGGCCCTTCCCACTCTGAGCCAGGAAAATGCACTTACTGGGGCCATGGTTGCAAACCATTGAGTATTCTTGGTCCTGGGGCTGCAGTGAAGCTGAATAATGCCAGAAAGGAGGAGCTGCATGGAAGCTGTTTGCTTCCATGTTAGGCTTCTGAGTGTATCTGTTGAATTTTCCTGCCTCCAAGGTCCATCCCAGTACTACCAGTGTAGCAGCTGTTTCTTCATTTGTTAACGGGGAGCACAAATGCTTCTTTTGGGGTCTGTATTTCTTTCTCTGAATCTCAAAGCTGGAATGAAACTCTTAAACAGCATGGTTATTTTGCCTAATGTCTTCTCCCCAAACTTCCAGGCTAATCCATTTGGGAAACATGGAAGATGTTCTCAAGAGACTTCTTATTGCCTAGCTACTGAAGCACCTGCTAAAACTGAGCTCTTTTAAAAACTGAAAATTATTTAAATGTGAAAAAGAGTGGGTTGATCTGCAAAAAAAACTTCTCAAAAGACTAAAATTAGAATGGAATGTGTTAGAGGAGAAATACTGGTGGGGGAGAAGGACTAAGGTTTTTTTAAAATAAAAATGCTACTGCTTGAGTAATGATCAAGGAAATTCTGGTTAGGATATTAGCTGCTGCTCCAACCCAGAGCAGTTCTTGGATTCAGAAATAATTATGTTTTCCTAAAGATAGATCTACAGTACAGACTCCAGGGTTTTTACTGAGTTAGTCTAAAGCAAGGATCAGCTTGATGCTTATAAATTAAATTTTTGAGTAAATGCTGGTAGTAAACCAAATAAATAGAGCTGCTTTTTTTTTTTTTTTTAAGAGTAACTAATAACTGAATAAATAAGCTTTGCAGATTAACTTCTGCTCTCCTAAAGTTGCCTGAGTGAGCTGCTTGCAGAAACCTTGTAAGGTGAAGTTACCTTTAATTTTTGCTTTTGGAATTTTGCATTTCTGTCTTGCACTTTGCTGCATGTTTGACTTTTGTCTTGAATAAAATTCTAATTAGTTGTCCCAAGGCTACCATTCCATGACGCGAGGTTTTTTCTCTTTTCTTGGCTCAATAGCAGTTGTGCCACTTCTTCTTTTATTTCTGAACTCCTTGTGGTGTAAAGAATTGGAAGAGTTTCAAGGAATCCCATTACCTGGCAGGAAGCAAAAAACTTCATTGTCTGTAAAATGATAAGGAGGAACATTCCAAGCAATGGGTAATAGTAGGAAAAATCACCCTCTGAGGAAAAGAGAAGGTCTCTACAAAAAAGGCACCCAACTAAAAAGAGTAAAATGATGTGGTCTGGATATTTTCCTTTTAAATCCTCTGATTTTCTTCTCCGTCTTGATTTCAACAGTTTGATGTATTTTATACTGCTTGGAAGTCATGAGTGCTTCCTTTAGAGAGACCTGACTGCAGTATTTCAGTTTCTTCCCTAAACATTAAAAAAAAAAAAAAATCCTATAGAAGTTTTATGCTGTAGGATATTTTAAATCTGAGGAGTAGGAAGGAATTGCATTTCCTGATTTAAAG